CAATGCTCTTCCAACCGCGTAGCTCAGTTGGAAGAGCATTGGGCTAGTATTCCAAAGGTCGTAGGTTCGAATCCCACCGTGGCCGGGCATATTTTTCAAGCTCGCCCGGTGTGGATACACACTCAGAGTAACATCACAAATATCATATTCACCTGAGTACACAACACCAACACAGAAAAAATCATATTACAAGATTACACTGGTATCGAAGGAACTAGATTCTGTTCCGAAATATCACTTACTCGAACCGTCCTGACCACGTAGCTCAGTTGGAAGAGCATTGGGCTAGTATTCCAAAGGTTGTAGGTTCGAATCCCACCGTGGCTGGGCATATTTTTCAAGCTCGCCCGGTGTGGATACACACTCAGAGTAACATCACAAATATCATATTCACCTGAGTACACAACACCAACACAGAAAAAATAATATTAACATGGTGGCATCTAGTGGGTTTTAGACAAATATACACGTCTAACATCTCGGTACAAAGAGCAACTTAACATTAAATAATGGCTGTGAACTTGCCATTTCCAATATTCAAAAGTACAGGAGACGACAAGCGCGACATGGAGATCTTTGAAGAAGATTTAAAAGATTACTGTACGCTAAATAATTGGTATGACCCGTCAAAGTCAACCGAAGAAGAGAGATGGATCAAAACTGACAAAGCAATAGCTTGCCTTCGAGCGTGTCTTACACCATCAGCAAGAACTGTATACAAATACAGCTTAGGTCTTAGCGAAGCAGAGCAAAAGAAGCCTCATTCAGTACTTCAAGAATTGCGAGAATATTACGGCGCAAGCATTGGAGTCTCGGGGGAACGGCAAAAGTTTCTTCGCTTACTGCAACAAGACGCTGAATTGATAAGTTCATGGGAGTCCCATATACGAAATCAGAGTGCTCAGTGCGAATACGAGAGTTTTGAAGACGAACTCATGCGAGACCAGTTCATATCAGGCTTAGCATCAGAACAACTCCGTGTTAAGCTCATCGGCAAAGGTCACAGACATAAGGACGGTGAACGAGCAAAGGTTACCCTGCGAGAAGTTGTCGAAGTTGCTAAAACATTTGAAGCAACGACAGTGACAAATCAACTCATGAAAACGGCCAGAGAAACACAAGTGTATGAACAAGTCAATTATAACAATAATACGAAACAAAAGCAATCAAACCGTGACCCGTGTTTTTGGTGTAGTGGCCAACATAAGCAACCCCGTCAGAGATTCTGTCCAGCGTATTCGAAAAGATGCAACAAATGTGGCACACTCGGACATTTTGCCAGAGCTTGTAGAAACGCTGGAAGCGTCGAGAGTCAAAAACCATACATGCAACTGCAACAACAACAATATGCAAATCAAGTTGAAGTCGAAGATAATTATGTAAATGAGAATTGTTCATGACAGATCACGATATGAACAAACAAGATAATGCAAATGGACGAAAATTCTTCGCACATCTAACCGTTGTCGAAACCAATCGATCAAAGGTTGTCAAAGCACAAATCGATTCAGCGTCAACGTGTAATACTATCCCTGTGAACATTCTACATCAACGTTTCCCGAACATTAAAATTGAGAAAACCAAAGCTGCGATCCAGACGTATGGAGATCAACGGATAAAACCAAAGGGCAAAGTGACTTTCTGCTGCGAAAGGAAAGGAAAATTGCATCTACTTGATTTCCTGGTAGTCGACGTACCTCGTGGAAAGCCGCCATTGTTGAGTGGTCGAGACGTAGAGATCCTGGGATATTTGGATATTCATGCAGATGAGATTCATTCCGTGAATGAAGTAAAAACGGACAAGAATTCAAATGTGCATAATCAGAAAATCCAGAATGAACAGCTCAATCATCAGAATTCAGAGTGCAATGTCCAAAGTCCAGCAAGCAACATCCAGGGTCAAGAAAGTGTGCGTCAAAGAGCCCAACCCCTTCACAAGTCCAGCAAAATTCCACAATTGGGGGAGTTAACAAAAGAATTTGTTCTAGAGCATTATGATAAAGTATTCCAACCAGGAAGAGGAAATCCGTTGGGTGCACCCATGCATATCGAGATGGATCCCGACATTCGACCAGTACATGCTCCTCGACGACGTATTCCCGTTGCAAAGGTACAGAGAGTTAATGAAGCATTGAAGAAGCTCTGCGAAGAACGTGTTATAGTTCCAGTCACACAACCAACGAACTGGTTATCGAACATGTTGATAAAAGAAAAGCCTAACGGAAAACTCCAAATATGCATTGATTCAAGTCAGACAATAAATAAAGCAATAAAGCGTCCAATCTACACTATTCCAACAATCGAAGAAAAGCTTCCATTTCTTACGAAAGCGAAAGTGTTTACAATTGTTGACGTGTCGGAGGCGTTCCACAACGTAGTTTTAGATGAACTCTCCTCTTTACTTACAACATTCCAAGGCCCAAATGGACGCTATAGATATCTGCGCATGCCATTTGGAATCTCATCTGGTCCGGAAGAATACCAACGAAGACGGCGAGAATTTCTGGAGGGTGTCATAAACATCGCTGATGACATTTGCATTTTTGGATGTGGAGATACAGACGAACAAGCAAGTAAAGATCACGATAAGAACTTAATTGCATTACTGGACCGATGTAGCGAACGTGACCTGCGATTATCAGCCAAGAAAATTCAATTCAAAGCAACTTCGGTCTCTTTCATGGGACACATCCTCACCGACAAAGGCGTTGCCCCTGACCCATCCAAAGTGATCGCTATACAAGAGATGCCAAAGCCTGTCGACAGAAATGGAGTTCAACGTTTCTTGGCAATGTGTCAATACCTGTCGAAGTTTTGCCCAAAACTGAGTAAGATTGTCTTACCATTGCGAGATCTAACTAGAATAAACGTAGAATTCATATGGACAGATGTTCACGAAAGCGCTTTCAACTCAGCGAAAGATCTCATTGCATCCAGCACTACTCTGCAGTACTACGATGTCACGCTACCTGTAACCTTGCAAGTAGATGCTTCAGATGAAGCAATTGGTGGGGTTTTACTTCAGAACGGGAAGCCAGTGTGTTTTACGTCGCATACTCTTGATTCAACTGAAAGAAACTACGCGCAGATTGAGAAGGAGTGTCTGGCCATCGTTACTTGTATGAGCAAATGGCACCAATACCTCTACAGGAAGAAAAATATCCTCGTTCACACAGATCATCAGCCACTGGAAACAATCTTCCGAAAACCGTTAAGTAAAGCACCTAGACGACTTCAGCGCATGATGCTCAAGTTACAACAGTACTATTTCTCGGTCCAGTACAAGAAAGGGAAGGAGATGTATATAGCAGATACTTTGTCTCGAGCAGCTTTAACCAATCCCACAGCAATGGGGACAAGTGAAGAAGAAGTGTTTCGCATGGAATTATCATCGATGGACCTTAAACCACCTAACTTGTCTAATGTCACCTTGGGGCGACTAAAAGAAGAAGTGTCAAGCGACGCAACATTGAAATCACTTTATGAAACAGTACTAATAGGATGGCCGTTAGAGCATCGCTACCTGCAGACCTTTCGGCCATATTGGTCTTTCAGAGACGAGATTTCTATTGACAATGGTTTACTATTGAAGTCTCATCAAGTAATCATCCCGCCATCAATGAGACAAGAGATGTTAAACAAGATTCACAAAGCTCATCAAGGTGCAGACAGCAGTATAAGGAGAGCCGGACAAACACTATTCTGGCCAGGTATGTCAGCGGCAATACGCCGAACCTGCTTGTCATGTGGTCTGCATGCACAGTATAAATCAGAACGACCAACCGAACTGATGAAATCTCAGGAGATTCCCACACTTCCATGGGAACGAATAAGTGTTGATCTATTTCAATTGGATGGTAAAACGTACTTGGTAACTGTTGATCATTACAGTGATTTCATAGAAATTGATTGGCTAAAGAATACGTCAGCAACGGCAGTCATCAATGCTATGAAAAAGAACTTTGCCAGAGCAGGAATTCCTCGTGCATGCGTCAGTGACAATGGTCCACAGTTCAGTAGTCATGAGTACAGCCAATTTGCCAATGAATATGGATTCAAACCAGTTAAGTCGTCGCCTTATCATAGCAAAGGCAACGGAAAGGCAGAATCTGCGGTAAAGGTGGCGAAAAATATTCTAAAGAAAGCGCGGCATGAAGATCCCTACTTGGCATTGCTGGCATACAGGAACACTCCACAACAGGGCCACATGTTTTCACCTGCTCAGAGGCTTATGAATCGGAAACTACGAGATATCACTGTGTCAGTACCTCATCCTGTTTCCAGCACTGAAGTTGTGAATGATATAATGTCGCATAGAGTCCGGTCCAAACAACAGTATGATAAAAGAGCATCACCCAAACCTTTGAAATCATTCTCGCGAAATGACCAAGTCTTCGTGAAACCAAATCCGAAAAATAAACACAAGCCATGGATATATGGAGAAGTCGTAAAAAATCGTGGCCATCGGTCGTGTGTCGTGAATACGGCTGTTGGACTAATTCAACAAAACCATAAACAACTCCGAAAAGCTGATGTCACACCGCAGGCTTTCAACAAAACGAACCATGAAGAATTGGAAATAGTATCCCTCCCAGACGAAACCTTACCATCATCAATAGCATTACCTACGGAAACAACCGAGGAACAAGTAACGGCGCTACCATCTCCAGTAGTGGAAACACAGCCAGCACCTCTACGTCGTTCGACAAGAATTCATAAATCGCCAGTAAGACTTAAAGATTATATACGGTAACATTTAATCCTTAAGAAACATTTATCTCAACTTAGTACTTTTCTTTATAAGAACATTTATTTGAACTTCATATTATTGTTTTAAAAAAAATGTGTAAAAAAAAAAGACTTTTATAAGGGGAAAGGTGTTGATAGGTTATATTAACATTTATGCTAATCATGCATGTAAACAGTATAAATACAGTAGGTTCTTATTATGTATGTTACTTAGGTTCTAGAGAATAATAAAGCAATATTAACAATTTGATATTATGCGGATTCAAAGGAATTTGAAGTAAATTTTTGTTATTTTCTGCTACATTTTATTGAAAATGTATTCGCATAAAACATTTATTTTAACTGTATGAATGTTACCAAGATTTGTGGCCCATTTTTATGCTATATTTTTATACTTTGTGCAAACTATATTGGTTTATCCCAAAAAGTAATAAAACTCTTATTTTTTTGTTTTTCGAGTGCAATTGTGTGAAGTACTGAAAAATTTATCTTTTAATTCCTTAAATGTGCGGACTACTGAAAAAAGATTTCATTCTGTATTGAAATAACTGAATTTTAACAGAAAAAAAATTTCTGTCTGCAAACTACATGAACATTTGTAAAAATCCTAACTGATAGGGTTGTCAGAATTTCTGACACCCCTAATGCTGGCTGGAGAAAATATCTAAAAATATGCCAACCGATCACCCGATTAGCGTGTTTGATGCGGGCTGACAGCCGGAAATTTTGTCTCCGATTGCTCGGCTGCCAGCTGGGCTGTACTATAGTATACTGTTCGTTAAAAAAATGTGTGCATGTCGGAGACTGGTTCTAGAATGTTTTCATGAGGAGAAAACCACCAAAATTACAGTAAATTTTCCCAAAATCATTGAACTGCATCTAAGTTCATCTTCCCAATGCATACAGCTAGCTATGCGATGTTTTAGATGTAGCCGATGGGATTTCAGTGATACTTGGATTTGCATCATTTATTTCTAGATTATCCAGTTGTACTCTGTTACAGGATGACCTTTCGGTTGAGATGTTGGTTGTATTTATCATAGGACCATGATCGTTTCTGGCGATTGGGCTTGCATTATTTCTATTCATATTAAGTGGCGTTTTGACTGCTGATGGACTATTAATTGGACTTGGATTGTTTGTGTTTAAATTATGCAGTTTCACACTGCTAGTGGATGTCGTTACGCTTGGAGTATTAATTGAATTGTTTGCCGGCCCACAATCATTGTTCTCCTGGTTATTACCTGTTAATCTAAATACTAGATTTTCAAGGGACACAAGTTTCGATTTAAAAACTGAATTTTCCTTGCTAAGTTTATGAATCATTTCCTCTTGATGCTGTATAATGGCTTCCATATTTGCTTGTTTGGCTTTAAGTAAGTTAGTGTTCGACGCATTTTGGGAAATTGCTTCAGGTAATAATTTGCCTTCCAAGATTGCTATGTCTAATTTAATACCTTCAGTTGTTATGCTCCTGTTTATACATTCACAATCATAGTTGCATACCTTAGCTAAGGCATCCCTTGCTTCGCTTTTATTTATTGATGGACATAACTCTGGTGATTCACCGTTACCAGACGTATTCAGGGTCTCAGTAAAAACATTGTTTATTACAGCGCCTATTCCAGCTCGAATACGTAATGTAGCACCTATCAATATATACAAACTCGAGGTTTCAAGTTTCTGTATTTTTCGTGATATTATCTAGACGTTTCGTCGGAAGAAAATAGTAGGAAGTGGATTAATAAGGCTTATCTTAATCTTTCAGCGGGTATTGGTTGTTGCAATGTTGTGCCCTTCACAAACATTCTTGTTATTTTTTATTATTACCCACGTGCTTGCCTTGGCGATGCCAAATCAACAATTGCACATACGCTAAGTCAACGTTCGAGGCCTGCTATTCGAGGAATATACGCGAACTGCAAGCGGCACTTCTAAGGAACGCCGCTCTGTTGCCAATTGGTCAACTATCAATCCTAACATGTTTGCTATCTGATACTTTCGGGACGAGCTTTCAAAATTCAAATACCAATTAAATGAATTAATACGTCTAAAAAATCCTTGCATATAGTACAGTGAACTTGCAGTTGTTGCCTTTATGTATTGCCGAATTTTATGAAAGCATGTAGAAAATTAGAAGATAATATAAGGTTTGTAACACGTTAGCATATCGTTCTCTAGTATATTCTGATATTCATATGCATGTCATTTATTTGCGGCGCAAATGTGTGCACAAATTGTATACTTGCAGTCTTGTATAGTTGTGTGTTCTAGAGCTCTTGTAACCTAAAACATTTTCAAACTGCCCCACTCAAAATAAATCTAATAGTAAAATTTATATGACACTGAAACAGTCTTTGGGTAAATAACATGCAAACCGCGGCCGCAGGAGAGTGTAGATCGCGTCTTTACAATAATACAACACAAAATTTGTGTGCATATTTGATGACATCATTTTCATATGTGCGTCATATGTATTTTATTTTATTTTATTTTATTTTATTTGGCTTTGCCAACTAGGGCAGGGTCACCACAACAGCATATGCCAATTACTATGGGCCCTTTTTACCTAACCCACCCTGTCAACTTTCCCTGTGGGAGGAAACCGGAGTACCCGGGGAAAACCCACAGCTTTCGGCAGAGCGTTGACTTTTACTCTTTTCACATGGGGACTGGGTTCAGGTCGCACTGAGAAGGTACTTAGTGAGACTCGAACCTGCAGCCTCAGAGGTGAAAGGCAAGTGCGCTAACCACTTGGCCACCGAAGCCCCTAAATACGCAACACTATGGCACTAGAAACAGTTCAAAATAGCGGTCGAAAAATAGTGTAGTATAATTTAATGTAGTGCTAGAAAAGTCCGATAGCGTGCTTAGAATAGACGAGTACATAGTTTACGTAAGTAGAACTGCTCCTATACTTGCCACTCCTAAGGCACAAGCATATATAATTATGGACATAATTTCTATTTTACATATAAAAGAAAACTATACTGTAGTCCAAAGTGTCATTGCCATTGGTGGAACTTTCCATTTTAATTATATTACTGTTACTTCATCGTGCCTAAAATATATGAAATGAACACCTGTATCGGGATTTGTTGCTTTCTCATCCTTTCGGATCCCGGCCATTCTCAGAGAAAAAGGAAATTGTTGAAAGGGGACGCCCAACTCCCGAGATCCAAGAATTGCACACAACATCGAAACATGGTGGTAAAGTTTTTGTTCGAACTTTTCAGACATCAACTTATGAAAAGTGCAAGTGGCTTGCTGGTTCTACTAAATTGAATAAACTATTTTGCTAGCCATGTCTTTTATTCAATCCCACAGACAATACTGTATGGAATAAGAAAGGATACAGCGATTTGTGGAATTTATCTAATGCTATCAGTATACACGAGAAAACCAAAAGCCATTTGTCAAGTTGTTTGATGAATGCTGTTTTTGGTCGAACCCGCATCGATTTGCAACTAAACAAGCAAACACATCAGCATATATCAGCGCATAATCTGGCAGTGCATAAGAATAGAGAGATACTTCGCTGTTTTATCGATGTGGTTTGTTATCTTGGTAAACAGGAACTTTCCTTTAGAGGACAGGTGGAGCTCGAGAGTCAGCTAACCGTGGCAATTATACGTGGAATTGGTAAAGCTGATCAGTATATATGACTCCTTGCTGGAACAACATCTTCAGACGGCTACTGTGTTTTCTGGAATGTCGAATCATATTCAGAACGATTTGATAATTTCTGTTAGGAATGTTATAATGAAAGCAATTATGAACGAAGTGATAAGCAGCCCATTCGTTGCGATTTTTATGGACGAAACCTCCGACATTAAAACTTTGTCTCAGTTAACCACTATTATTCGCTATGTCGACGCTGATGGCAAGCCTGTGGAGCGTTTTCTCGGAACAGAACAGCAGCGAGGTTGAAACAAGAGGTTGACAGTACTTTAGAGGAGTACGAATGTGGTGAGAAATTAATTGCGCAAACGTATGATGGAGCGAGCGTTATGTCGGGGCAACTGACCGGTTTGCAAGCTCGTGTTAGAGAGGACTATCCACATGCCTTGTTTATCCACTGTTGTGGATATGCTTTGAATTTAGTGTTGGTCCAAGCTGTGTCCTCAACCAAAGAGTGCAGAGTATTTTTCAAAACTATGAATAGCCTTTCATCCTTTTTCCACGCCTCATCCAAGAGAACGCATCTGTTAGACACGATTGTTGGTAGACGTATTCCCACTGGTACCGATGGCATTATCACGCCAGACTAATCCATGCGATACTGGAGACGTGGGAGAAGCTAGTGGAAGTTTTCGAATACATCCTGGAACACAATGAGGAATTCGAAGACTCAGTACTAAACGAAGCTCGTGGCTACCGAAATATTCTTACAGATTTCCAATTTGTGTTCCGCCTAAACATATTTTCAGCTGTGTTTGGGCTCACAACTGTTCTCTACGACATTGTCCAGAGCAAGCAGTTTGATATCGCCTATTGTGTTACGAAAGTTCAGGAAACAAAAGCCAGAATTCAAGAATTACGGAATAACTTTGAATCGTCCTGGAATTCTACATTGTACTGATGAAACGAGGGCAAACTGAACAAGAAGTTAACACGTCATTCCGTCAAATATTTTTCCCTGTTGTTGATACTACGGTCATGCAGATTGATATTAGGTTCGAAAGTCTTAACAGCAAAATTTTCTGGGGGGCATGCATTGCCTACCCAATCTGTTCACTGCACGCCACTGGGGTGATGATCGATTCGAAAATTTTTGTAGCTGTTTTCGGCGAGAGTTTGTGAAAGTCTAGAGTTTTACGAATTTTATAAAGAGCATGCAAAGCTTTTTTGCTTAACTGCTGTTGTGCGAGTTTAAATTTGTCATTTGGCATGAGTTTTAAGCCAAGATAGGTATATTCTTTAACTATATCTATCTTCTTATTTCCAATGTGGAAGTGAAGGTTTGGTAATTTTGAGTTGTGTTTTTGAAAAATCATAACTTCTGTTTTCTTGATGTTGACTTCCATAAGCCATTTATTACACCATTTGTGTAACTGATTCAAACAATTTTGTAGACCATGTGTTGATCGTGAAAGTATAATTAGATCATCTGCATATAAGAGACTGTTGATAGCAGTTCTGTTTGGTAATACAAAAGGGTCTGATTGAGCTTGTTCAAATAGTTTGTTTAACTGATCGTCGTGATGTGAGGAGCTTATTTCGAAGCTCCTGTTCTGATCAGTATATGTATGTATGTTTGTTTCTTCGAATAAAATATCTTTTATAGCGACCTTGTTTGTACTTGTGTTTGTATATCAACGTGTTAACATGGTAGAAATAGCTCAAATCGAGGAAGTATTGAAGAAAGAATTGGCACCTGTTCACACTAAGCTTGCTGCGGTAGAAGGAAACCTTAAACAAATGACCACGTCCTTAGAATTCTTATCGACAAAATACGATCAACTGCTAGGACATTCCAAGACCACTAACGAGAAAATAACAGGGCTTACAAAAACAACTAGAACCATTCAAGCAGACATTAAAATCAACAGAGATATGACTCTCGAAGCAAAAGGGGAATCCGACGAGCTAGCACAGTACCTGCGAAGAGACTGTCTTGAAATTTCAGGAGTGAAACCAAATGCAGAATACAGTAGCGAAGCCATCGTAGAGAGTATTGGCAAAGTATTGAAAGTTAACATCGAAGAAAAAGACATTTCAACCGCCCACCCATTACCTACGTTCAATAATTGTGAAGTTCACTTGCAGAAATGTACGCAACAAATTCTACGCTGAAAGAAAAACTCTTGCTGGCAAGAACCTCAAAGATAATCCACATGTCAGAAAATTTCTAGTTGGAGATAGTATATATATTTCAGAATCGCTTACCCCTCGAAGAAAGAAGCTATATGGCGATATTAATAAGTTTCGAAAAAAGCTTAAATGGAAGTTTATCTGGTCTCATAACGGACGAATTTACATAAAGAAGAACGAAGCTACAACCGAACGCTATGCTTTTGACACTGCTGATGACCTTGCTAAATTTCAACAACATTTTCAGGCACTCGGCTAAACTGGCATTATGTACGATCTTGTAATAAGGGTATATTTAGCCTATTGGTATTACTTTTCTCCTTCCAACATGCATATCTTTTGCAAAACTTTACTAAGTGTATTTTATTTGGGTGTGTTTGTCAAGACCTTTGAAATTAATATTATCATTTTCTTTTGTGGTAATGCTTTAATGAAATCTTATATATGCAGTGCAATTACCTGTAAAATTTAATAGTGCTACTATTATGTTAAGTGAGTTACCCTACTATAATCTTACGGATGAGCAATTTACAAAAGAAATAGGAGCCTGGGTGTATAATTCAATTGATAACTTGTATGCGAGATCTAAAGATCTGTTTAAAGATATTGTTGAAAGCCCTGACAAAGCAAATGACTGTAATGAAAACTTAATCTACGACTCTATTGAATCTAAATATCATACTACAAAACAATTTGGGAATAGGTTTTCAAATGTTAAGCATAAAGGCAGAGGAGGTTCGACAAGCAGGCCGCAAAGCATCATGGGTTTGAGTGCCTAATTCCAGGCGTGGCTTCAATGACTCTTTGACTGTCGTGGAGTGAACATCTCTCTGAGTAAACAAATATGGAAGCATTCGAAATACAAGATTGTCAGGCTGCAAAACTTCGTGAAAATAGCATGTTATTGCTGTATTGTTGCGATCCTCATTATGGCTTGTGTTTTACTATACCAAGTTTACCTTATATTAAATTACATGGGATGTGCTGTCATTTTAGCTTTATAAATAATCCGTCTGTCAAAGCGAAGGAATTGTGTTTATATAATTCCCAATAGTGAGGCCCTTCTTTCTAAGTTGGATGGCGTTAAATATCTGTGTATCATCAACGTGAAAACAAGCGCAGTATTTAAGGTTAGTATATTACAATGCATTTAATACAGTTGACTTGTTATTTGGTCAAATTTCCGCTTTGCTGTTTTCAATATTGTACTGTAATTTTATAAATACACTGTACAAATTATGGCGTAATATTTCTAATAATTTAACCCTTTAGTTTGACCCTACTCCTGATGAGTTTGCTAACGAAAACACCCAGCATATGCTTTTGATTTTGGATTTCGATGTGGATCATATATTGACAGCGAATAGAATTGATGATGAACATTCAGATGATGAACACTGGTTCTCAGATGGACTTGAAGGTATATTGTTATTCAGTTATTTGTATGGTTTTATAAATTTTTGCTGAGTGTGATGGCTGTTTGTATCTAGTTGTGGGTCGTTGTTTAAATGTGCAAACTGTAATTTAATATTTTTTTAAAATTTTCATCTAAATATTGCTGTTTGTATATTTTTGCTAATTTTAGAGATGACAAATATGTATCAAATAATAATTTCCTTGTTATGATTTTGTAGAAAGAGATTTACTTGAGTGGTTGGCTGGTCTTGAACCTGTTCAAGATGTATATGATAATGAAAGAGGTGATCAAGGTGATAGGGCAGAATTAGTGATGACAAGTTAAGTGATGAAGACGAAAGTGATGTGGAGGAAGAAATCGCCCACTCTGTACCATTCAAGTGCATCGGTGCTGCTCATGAGAAAAACTACTGACATCATTTGGAAAATTGAGGCATAATACCTCGCTCTTCATGAACAAGATAAAACAGTGAATTCAATGTAAGAATACGGCCAGCACCATTCAGATTGAATCCAAGGGACCCAAGTGCAATGGTCAATTCCAGCTTTTAGGTTATGAATGCAGGGGGTGATGGGAAGTAAGGTATCATATTGCTGATAATGCTGAAAAAATAGAAATGGTGGCCTTGTAAACGTGGAGAGATAGCTATTGTAAATATTGAAATATTTTGGTTGTTTGGGTAGATTATTAAAAATTTTCAGCATAATCAGCAATATGATACCTTACTTCCCGTCACCCCCTGCATGCATAAATTAAAAGCTGGAATTGCCTATTGATCTATATAGACTATGGAACTGTATGGACACATGTTGGTTATATTGCTTCTGAGCTATGCAAGTATTTGCACCCACTAATTGCTGCAGGAGATGTCATGGATGTCTATGTCAGTGTATCAAGTATAGGGTTGACTTTTTAAATTAAAAATAGGATTTTATCAAAAAATTTTCTTAAAGACACCTGAGGCCGGTTGTTCAAAGGTGGGTTAGCCCTAACCCTGGGTTAAAATTTAACCTGCTGTTTTAGTTTGTGTACTTCTGCACATAGATCTGTGTATTTCAAAACTTCAGAGAAGTAAACTCCTATCAATCCAGATAAGATCTCTGAAGAAATATTTCCAAATTTATAGAAAAGCTGTCAGGAAGTTTGCTTCAAATTTTAGGTTAACCATGGGTTAAACTAACCCAGCTTTGAACAACCGGCCCCTGGTGAGTGGGGACTCGAGTGGTAGGAAAAAGCATGAGTGTATGTTGACAGATTGTTTAGCAAGTTATTAGTGCATTTATTTCAATTGGCTAACTTTTTTAGTTTTTCCAGCATTTTTTAAACAAACCATAGGTTATGAATGATAACTGGGTATATCTAATTAAACCAATTTGTCATGTACACTCATGCAAATAAGACTAAGTACATAAATAACTGTAAAAAATGTACTTTAGTAAATAAATGAATATTTATTCATACACTTGACCTACTAAATAATAAAACAAGAAGATGTCTATGTATATAATGTTTATTAAATTGATCAGAGATCCCACTTTAGCTCAGAAACCACTGCCAGCAGGGAAAGACCCCACAATAACATGCCACTTAATTTGCTATATGATACATAAAAACTTATTTTATTGCTTTAAAACAAGTGAAGCTCTCTGCTGGCTTGAAATGGGCTGTTATGACACTGATTTGTCCATGCTGAGGATTCCGCAGCTCGATTTGCAACAAAAAACCAGTATCAGGCGATCAGCTCGTCTTGAAATACGTACACGATCCAGTCGCGTCGGCCAAAGACAACAAAACTTTGAAAATCGCACAGATATAAATTCTAAAAAAATATTAAAACAACTCCTAAGTCTTCTAAATAATATTTTAACACTTTAACAAAAATTCATTGAAAATATCATCTTTGATGGCGCATTTTCTTTCCAAGGTATTAGACGCCATTTTAGCGAACGTCGAGTTGACAATAGTCACTTCAACGGTCAATATCTCGAAAACTGCCGGGGGACACTGGAATCATTCCAGCAAATTTAAAGCTTATACTTTTGTCTTGATGACTACCAAAAATGAAGAAAATCGAACCATGGGAATTCTAGATATTTCATTTTAAACATTGTAAACATATTTAGACTTGAGTCAACACGTCGCGGGGATCGACTAACTTCAAACATCAAAATAACATTGAAAATAACATTTACCTAAGCGATTTTTGCAGATATCACCAGATCTTTAGCAGTAGTACTACTACACTTGAAATTTTGCAAGAAAATTTTAATATTAATATTTTTTTCCGATTTATTTTCCGTCGAATGCAAATTTTTCTGTCCAAATTCTGCAGATAACACGATGGAAAATAGAGCGATCTCATTGGTCGAGAGCTCACGTGATAACTCGCTATATTCGACTATTTCTCCAATATTTTCCAATAAAGAGTTTGTCATGACACGCTCAAGTCAGTATAACCAGACTGTATTTTACTTATATCAGTTATCACAGTCACAGGCAATTTTATGCTGTCAAATACCGTCGGTTGCAAGTAAGGGTGAACAGTTGCAGATAAAACATTCTCTATTCTCATTAAAAGGCCTGTAAAGGTTTGCAATAGGTCTCTAGCCCAACACGTTCAGACTACACAAAGTCTTGTTACTTATTATTGTACACATGGGAAACAACAATTAAGTGTTGTTGTTCTTGACAATTGAAGATTCTAATCACGCGAATGTTTTTATGAGCGACTGTTCATCGTTAGTTGCAAGCGACGGTACAACATACTATGAACATTTTTCCGACTGTGACCGAATGTGCAACGATATATTTTTCAAAGTTGTTATCAATTCCTAAAATTTGTTTTTAGTAAAACGGCCTGCTCAGCACTCACTACTCACGATGATTTCATTTAGAAATGCAGTTACCAGGAAAGGAACTGATTCTAAAATATGTAAATTTAAAAGCATTGGCTAACAGAATAAAGCGATGTGAAGACAAGGTATAAACTTTTATAGTTGCTATTTGTTATAAGATCCTATAAATAAATCGGTTCAACAATAATTTTGCCTCGAATTTCCATATTCTATGCTGCATGTTTATATTTTATTTTTATGGTATAAAAATAAAATTGTAATACTATGAAATAAAATACATTTCTGTTTATTGACCAGTACTTATTTAATCAAAGTCTTCTTCATCCAGTGGTCAGAGTAAATTTCTACTTCTAGCAAGTAAATATTTGACAAGCAGTCTGGAATAAGCACAGCAATAAGCACAATAAGCCATTTTATAGTAGCAATATGAAAAGTTTTTTTCTTTTTCCATGACTTTTAATGCATCAGCCAAATCCAAGTGTGCCCATCCCCCTCGCCCAGCCATTTTCCTGTAAAGCACATCCCGGGGGTTGGGCATTTCCGGCTCGAACCTTAGCCCCGGCTGGGCATTTGAAATTAAGGATTTGGAGGTTTTGCGATCACTGGTAACTTGATAATAATATAAAACAAAACACTTCTATCTGCAACTTTTACAATCACTGATAACTTGACAATAATTTAAACCAGTCAAGTTGTAGTTTAAATAGAGAATAATACATGGGTGCGCGGAAATATCATATTTATTTCGAGTGTTGAACATGATATCTCACAAGTGGGCGCAGCGAACGAGTGAGATGTCATGTTCAACACGAAAAATAAATCTGGTATTTCCGCGCACCCATGTATTTTTCTGTTTATTATATAAAGGACAGTCTTTGAAAAGCGATAATTTTTACAGAAATGCGATAATTGAATAGCGATAATTTTCACATGTGAGATTATCATGAATAATTTGATTTCCAGTGCACTTTTAGGTAAATTTAAGTAGATTTGCAGAAGATTTTCAGAAGAATTCCGGTAATTCTCAGGACATGAGAAAGTGAATTTGGAAAACAACTGTATTTTCGGAAAAATTACTATATGTCCTGAAAAATTTTTGTACATCTGGAAACATTTTGGTAACCCCCCCCCGTCTATCTATCCTCACACACACCCTGAGACGAAGTGCTCACAACGGCACTGAGTATACATCTTTTGAAAACAGGCAAGGGGTTATTGCATGCATGTATTTCTAGTATTATAGGATAATGGCAGTTAATCGACAGAATTTCTGAGGGGTGCGCCCTATCAGCGCACCCCCGGTCATATCAACATGAAAAAACCTCGGTACAAATAGGGTTAAAGCCAACAACAGACGACGAACAACAACTCAAGACCAACGTACTTCCCGGCGAGATTGCAATGTATTTACACAAACAGTCATATCGACAACCACGACTTGTAAACGCAATGTATGACGCTGAACAGCGAATGCAAGAGATCATGGATGCGCCACAGATTAGCGCAGTGGGAAAAAGCAAATTATACTCTGATCAACTAAATTGGTTTCTCATATTCAAAAACAAGATGGATGTTCCGGCTCAAGCTCCTGTTCAGAGAACTCCACTAGTGTCTTCTACTCCTGTATCTGCTGAGATACCACCACAAGCGCCTCCAACTCCTGTAATAGCGGAAATACCACCACCAGTGCCTGCTACTCCTAAACCTGATTTCCTTACGCCACCACCAACAGAAGGGGAACGACCAAAACTCAAGCTCAACTTTTTCCACAATTGGGTCGACCCAGCAGATTGGACCGAACGTGACCTAGCACGAATGACTCCGGAAGCAAGAGAGTATTATAAACGTTTTATATTGAGCGACAGACCAAAATATATTCCAATGAAGCCGGAGAAAATTGCAAAGTTATTCCCAGAAGATAGACAAGAATATGAGAACTCTTTAAAAATAACAAAAACACCTAGACGTTACGCTCTTAGAAGACCGTACTAAATTTTGTAAAACGTTTTGAAGAAATAAATTTATTTTGAAACTGAAATCTTGTGCAAGCTTTTGCCTGCAAGCCCCGCTCTTTCCGTCCGCGCGATTTACCTAACCCGCCCGCCTGATTGGTGTACAAATATGTTGTACATTAATATATGAATGCACCCAAGCGTCGCTAATGACTGGCAACACATAGCAACGTATATAACGACCGAATATTTGATAAAAACATATTTATTTTTTTGGCAAAATATATTACCACTGTTCTAAAAGGTTTTTTTCTTCAAGTATTCTTGAACAATTTTAAGACGAAACTTAAGACAATTCTTATTGAGAAGCGATGTCCTTCTTTTTAACTTTTTTAACTCATAAACTATAATATATAGTATAATTTTAGTTCATGTAATAACTTTGATACGATTGTTGTAAATATATATAGTCGATAACTCATAATTTTTTCTAAAATCCATGTAAATTGTCATTGAAAAGCCCATTTTAGGGAATGTCAATTAATAAATTCAATTCAATTCAATTCAATAAGCTTGCTGATGATCTGACTCGGTCATCTTAACAGTATATATGTATGTAGGCGGTGTGCTATATAATGTTGAACAACATGCAAATATTAACCATAACAACGACGTTGACAACCATGTTAACCCGGGATTAGAAACTGTTTAGTTCTGTTTAAAATATATATGTCTCGATTTTTGTGATGAATAGATTCCTTGCTATTATTTTGTAAACATACGAAAAATCCTTCAATATACCTCTGGAAATTTATCTCTTCCGAGCAAAGATACGGCTACAACTCTGCTATATATTAATTTCGATAACAATTTTACCTTGTGAGGGACTTGAACCAATCTTAATCCCTCTTTTGTATCACACACGTGGAGGGACGCTAGAAAATGTCTGGTCAGCAAGTTTTGACCGATTTCGTCCGAACATGCCCGCGTGACGTCAATACATGTATTAAGTGGAGGTATGTTAATTAATTAGCGCACCCTTACGCACCCTCACTCCACCACACTCCACCACACTCCTCCTCACTATGCTTGCCCGCGTGACGTCATTGCATATAATTATGACGTATGCAAATGATGATGCGCCGCCCTGAATTTTTAATGATGCGCCGCCCTGAATTTTTAATGATGCGCCGCCCTGAAAATCCGGATCGAACGGTACCTATATTACTACTTGCTTCTGTGTTATGCATGATTCATTCAGATAAGCCAGAATTAACAGTTGAAAGCGTCACTTAAATATAGAAAATGGATATCGGTTGATGTGTCATCTTTTAATCATGACATTGCTGCATCGGACCTATGCACACAACCACCGAACGATCTAGAAGACTTGGTTGCTTGCTATGATACTACTCTAAAGGCTGTCTTGGAAAAACATGCACCATCTAAAACTAAGATCATAGTAAAACGACCACGGGTACTTTGGTTTAATGAGCAACTCAGGAAGGCAAAGCGAGAAAGACGAAAAGCAGAGAGAAAGTGGCGATTATCTAAGTTGCAGAGTGATTTTTCTATTTTTAAAATGAAACGAAATGCGGTAAATCGATTAATTGCTACATCCCGTACGGAGTATTATACGAATATCGTTGAAGAGAACAAGGGTGACCAGAGAAAACTGTTTAAAACATGTAAGTGTTTATTTGGTCAACATGACGATGAAGGCCTTCCTCCTAATTTGGATTGTAAGTCTTTTGTCAGTGACTTGGACAAATATTTTGAACAAAAGATCACAAATATACGTAGCCAATTAGATAATAATGAGTTGTCCAGTGTCCCCGATGACCCGCAAATTGCTTCTCCTGTGACCGAATCAAATGTCCCGCAGTTCTCCGAGTTCACTCCCCTTTCTGAATCTGATGCTAAGGTATTAATTAGCCGTTCTTCGTTAAAGACGTGCCACCTTGATCCAGTGCCATCCAAGTTAGCTGCTCAATGTGATGATGCATTACTACCTGTAATAACAAGAATTATCAATCTCTCTGGTTGCTTTCCGCTTAACTGGAAGGAAGCACTTGTTCATCCACTCTTGAAGAAAATTGGTATTGAAGCTACCTTCATGAATTTTAGGCCCGTGAGCAACTTTCCATTTATACCCAAGCTCACTGAAAGAGCTGTATTCGAACAGACACATGTTCATATGGTAGATAACGATCTGTATCCATCTGCGCAATCATCACATCGAAGGAATCATAGTACTGAGACTGCTCTGCTGAAAGTGAAGAATGACCTTTTGATGAACATGAATGAGCAACATGTCTCGCTCCTTGTACTACTGGATATGAGTGCGGCGTTCGATACGGTTCATCATCGTATTCTTCTTGGGCGTTTATCATCTAAATTTGGTTTTACTGGAGGTGCTTCTAGTTGGTTCCACTCTTATTTATCCCAGAGATCTCAGCGCATAGCGATTCGCGGAACAGTTTCATGGTGTTCCTCAAGGTTCTTGCCTGGGTCCTTTATTGTTCACAATTTATGCCAGCAATCTATTTGACGTCATTGAGAAACACTTACCAATTCACATTGCTATGGAGATGACATTATATATTATGATGACATTATATATTGCATTTAGTCCAACTGAAGAACGTGGTGAGTCAGATGCGGTCATTGCCATGGAACGTTGTATCGAAGACATTAGAGTGTGGATGTCTGAAGACAAATTGATCATGAATGCTGATAAAACTGAATTTCTCCTTATTGGTACAAGACAGCAACTCGCTAAGGTCAATCTCAGCCATATCACGGTTGGTGCTATGGACATTGCCCCCCAACCTGTTGCTAAGAATCTAGGAGTATGGTTTGATTCTAACCTCTCCATGATCACCCACATTTCAAAGACATGCTCTTCTGGATTTTACTTTCTATATAATATAAGACGCATTAGAAAGTACCTTACTAAAGAAACGACCCAGACACTCATACATGCTTTTATATCAAGTCGCTTGGATTACTGCAACAGCTTATTGTATGGATTGCCGAATTCCCAATTAAGCAAGCTACAGAGGGTGCAAAATGCCGCTGCACATCTCGTGTTCCAAAGAATCAAAATTTTGCCGAATTACACCATTGTGGCGAAGCTTACACTGGCTCCCAGTCAAATACCGTATTGACTTTAAAATTCTCCTACTAACGTTTAAGGCTATTCACAAAATTGCTCCAGATTATATAAGTAACCTAATTAGCCTCAAGGGGTCTACAAGAAGGGTGAGAAGGGCAGTGACTTGATGGAACGAATACATTCATTTTTAAAGCAAGACCCGGACAATGCTTCAGAAATCGCTAATCCTGCTGAACTTGATCTAGAACGGTCGATTGAAAGTTTGCTAGCTGACGATTCTGACGATGTCACAGATGATACGTTTGAAGAATCGTTCAGTGATCAATGTGATATTGCAAAGGAATTGAAAAACCAAGAGGAAAAACAAGCCAGTATAGATTCCGAAACCAGTACAAAGCACGATGAATCGAACACGAAGTCAAAAAATTTGCATGCATGAAGAGTCCATCGGTCTATATACGGTGACAAAGTCTGGCAATCTGCAAACAAAATCAACAAATAGGCATAATCCCTTGGGAAGTAGTGCCAGCTGTAATCGCGACTCCGCTGAGATTAGTCGACTGAATTCGAAACTTGACAGATTTTCTGAAAACGTGACAAACAAATTACAAAATCTCAGCGTCGAGATAAACAACATTAAAGAGAACAAACCCTACTCTATTTTGGTTTTAGAAAACGTAGTCAATGATCTAAAGGAAGATAAGCTTGTGCTAATTAGAAAGAACGACGAACTCAGGGAACAAAACATGGATATGTCTCATATTATATCTGATTTGAAAATGGCAAACAAGAATCTGGAAAGCGAAAAGAGCAGCCTGTTGACAGCTCTTAAATTAATACAAAATGACCACCAACAAAGGTGCACGAAAACAATTGTGGAAAATGACGGCGAGAATAATGTGGAATTGGTTTGCGAAACAATAGAGGGAAGTGAAGTCACTCAACCAAAACCTTCATCTAATCAGCCCGCAAACGATAAGCATCTTAACACCGAAGCTAGTACTGGGAAAAATCGTAAAAAGAAGGGAAAGAAATCTAAGTCCAAACCTCCAACACAAAATTCCAGCCAACAAACTGCGGATGTAGATACTTCTGGTGGTATTGCGAACACCTCTAGTTCTAAATCAACGGGGCAAGGCAAGAAAACAGTTGTTATTGCAGGGGACTCAATTGTTAAAAATACTATTGGTCCGAAAATGAGTGCTGACGATCCTAATCACCATTTTATTGTAAAGTCGTTCCCTGGAGCAACAGTCTCAGATATGGAGGATTTTGTCAAGCCATTGACAAGAAGGACACCGGACAAGATGATCTTACACGTCGGAACAAATGACCTGAGAAGTCATTCTAAGCCGAAAATAATAGCAGACTCCATTGTCAACATTGTAACACAAATAAAAGAAGATTCACCAGGTACAGCCGTTGGCATTTCAGCTATTCTGGTAAGAAATGACAATAATGACCTAGCTGCTAAAGCTATTCAAACTAATAATATTCTTAAAAGCTATTGTAGTCGCAATAGAATCCCCTTTTTAAGTAATTCAAATATGAATGCAAGCCACTTAAATATGAGGGGTCTTCATTTAAATAGACAAGGTAGTTTAGCTTTACAACAAAACTTACTAGGTTTTGCAAAAACTATTTCAGATTGACTTTATCCTACTCAGTCCGTTATTCCTAACTCGCGCGGGTTTAAGCTCGCGGCACTTAATGTGAGAAGCCTAGTAAATCATATTGATGAGCTGCGAGTTTTGCTTGCTACTAGCCCGATCGATGTCCTAACAATAAATGAGACATGGCTTAATTCTACAATAAGCGATAACGATGTATATATACCTGGATACGAAATCATACGTCGTGACAGGGCATTTAGAAGTGCAGATGGAAAAACGTATGGAGGTGTTTGTTTTTATGTACGCTCCAGCGTAAATTTCATACAGCGTAAAGACATGTCTATTGATAATTTAGAAAATCTATGTATTCAAATTCAAAAACCAAATTCTAAGCCATTTCTCGTTGCGACATGGTACAGGCCACCAAATTCGAATGTTGATAAATTTAATTATTTTGAGACATTTATTGACATGCTTGATGCTGAAAATGTCGAGTACTATTTATTGGGTGACCTAAATTGTGATCTCGGGTCGCCTGATTTAGAGAGTAATTCGAGATCATTAGTAGGCATCACTGAGCTCTATGGTTTACATCAATTGATAAGTGAACCGACTCGAATTACTGAAACTTCCTCAACTATGATTGATCATATATTCACCAATACACCAGATAAAATTGTTTGCTCCGGTGTTTCTCATGTCGGTATTAGTGATCACAGCTTAATTTATGCATTCCGTAAGCTTTCAACCGGTCTACACAATAAAGGCCATTCTACAGTAAATTATCGAAAATTTAAAAATTTTAACTCTGAAAGTTTTCGAAGTGATATTTTTTCACAGAATTGGGACGTCATAAGGGCGTATAATAATCCGAATGATATGTGGCGTGTGTGGAAAACGACCTTTAATAACGTAGTGGAAATGCATGCTCCTTTACGGACAAGGCGGGTAAGACTTTCTAAGTCGCCCTGGATCACGCCTGAGTTAAAAAGACATATGCATGAAAGAGATATTTTAAAAATCAAGGCTATTCGATCTAAAGATATTTATGACTGGGCTGCTTTTAAGAAAGCTCGCAACTCTGTGAACAATGAAATTAAATTTGCGAAGAAAGCCCATTATATGAATGCTTTTCATGAAAACGAGAGTAATGTGAAAAAAACTTGGGGTATTATTAATGAATTAACCTCAAGAAAACAAAATAATTCACATGTAAAAGAGATTAAACTAAATGGTTCTTCAGTTAGTGACCCCCCGGGGTTATCAGAGACGTTTAACACTCATTTTGCTAGCATTGGACCTAAGCTTATGGAGAAGATACCTTGTGATGAAAATAACTGCTCATATTTAGAATATCTCAATTGCCATATTAGTGGTAATACTTTTGAGTTGAAGTCGACAACTTCATCAATGGTTTGTTCACTTTTGGACAAACTCTGTAAATCTAAAGCAACTGGCCTAGATAAAATATCTGCTAAGCTTCTTCGCTACTGTCCTGACCTACTGTCGGAATCCCTTACCGTAATTTTCAATTGCTCTATTAATACCGGTATCTTTCCTGATGAATGGAAATGCTCAAAAGTCATTCCATTATTTAAACACGGTGAGCGTAGGGACTTGAATAATTATCGCCCAATTTCGATAATCCCTGTTGTAGCGAAGGTTTTCGAGCGAATTATTTATGATCAAATCTATGCCTTTCTTACTGACAACAATTTACTATGTAATAGCCAGTCAGGGTTTCGATGTCTACATTCAACTGTCACCGCGCTTCTTGAGTCCACCAATAACTGGGCATACAACATTGACCAAGGCCGAGTTAATGCTGTAGTTTTCCTAGATCTTAAGAAAGCGTTTGACACAGTTAACCATGGAATTTTACTATCAAAACTGAATGCGTATGGTCTTGGGGGTGCTGTGGGTAATTGGTTTAAGTCTTATCTAATTGACCGCAGTCAAAAATGCTATGTTAATGGTCACCTTTCTAACAATCGTACGTTACTCTGTGGTATTCCACAGGGGACTATTTTAGGACCATTGTTATTTTTACTGTATATAAATGACTTACCAAATTGCCTTGAGCACTCCCAAGCACGAATGTACGCGGATGATACTAATTTAACATTTGCAAGTAACAATATTGACGACATAAATTATCACCTTAATCATGACCTTGCAAATGTGAACAAATGGCTTATCGCCAATAAGCTTACTCTAAATCAATCCAAAACTGAATTTATGCTAATTGGCTCACGACAAAGAATAGCCACATTTCGATCAGTTCCATGTTTAGAAATAGACGGGGTTCCTATTGACAAGGTTTTATAAGCAAAGTCTCTCGGAGTGTACCTCGATGAGAATCTATCTTGGAATATACAAATTAATGAATTAACAAAAAAGATTGCTTCTGGTATTGGCGCTTTAAAACGTGTTCGATCATTTGTCCCAGTCGCAACATTGCAATTAATTTTTAATTCCTTGGTTCAGCCATATTTCAATTACTGTTGCACAGTTTGGGACAATTGCAACAAAACCCTAGCTGAAAAACTTCAAAAACTACAAAATCGTGCAGCGAGAGTACTAACATTCTCCAGTTATGACACTAATGCTGATGGTTTAATTGAGAAACTTGGCTGGAAAAAATTATCATCCCAGCGCCAGTTTCAAAAAGCTGTCATGGTCTATAAATCATTAAATGTGACCCTCTTTGGGAAAACATACGTTAACGTTTTTCCGTTAAAACGGCCAAAAAAATGGATTGCAAACGGATAGTGAACGGTTTGTATAAACCGTTTTCACGGTCTTCGAAAACGTTAAAACGGTGCCATGATATTTTTTAACGCTTTCGAGAAACCGTTTTCACGGTTAAAGGTTACCGTTTAAACGGATGGAAGAAGCCGTTTTCACGGATAGTGGCATCCGTTTTAACGGATGAAGCCACCAGTTTAAACGGATGAAGGAATCCGTTTTAACGGATGGAGGAAAGTGTGCGTTTAACGGATAGCCGTTAAACGGTTTGAGGGATTAAAATAATTCAGCAGCTGTGAGTTGTGGAGAAGCATTAGTCAGTGTACCTGTTTTTATATGCGATACACTAGGGGAATTAAGTTAGTGAATGTAATAAATTTTTATATCATGCACCGAATCCAGTTGCTGCTGAAACTTAAATATTTTAACTGTAGAGTGTAGTGTATTATATATATATTCCCGCACATGCAGGCTAACCCATGCCGGTAAAGACCTAGCTATATGATCGAAGCTTATGATTGGCTAATTGCCTTCCAAGGTAGTGAAGGTAGTGACCAATCGTATTGCAATAATGAGTTGTCCCCATTCTCCAGGCGACAACAAATGCAGCGCGGCGAGGAACACATGCACAAAGCACGCAGAAAAAATTGAGAAGTTACTGTCTGTATGTGTAGGAAATTGCATCAACTTTTGGGTTTTTTGGCTCATCATGATGTGAAATTGCAAAGGCTGTCACTACAGTATATCCAGAAAGACTCACTTGTCATTGGTAAAGTTGTTTATTTTATTTATTACCGAAATTACTTGTCATTGGTAAAGTTGTTTATTTTATTTATTACTGAAATTATGTACATAATTTTGGCCTTGCAACGTGAACAGGCAGTTTTTCTTTGACATTTTTGTCAACAATGAATAAGGAGCAAAATATGTATTCGTTTAATAAATGTTTCTCCTATTTGTAGACCAATATTGCCCATTAATTTATAGTAGCAGTTGACCTCAATAAAATTAACTCATCTATTTAATAAATCTGCACATAATTAGTTCCATTTTCTTGTATTATATAGTAACATTTTTGCTATTATGGGACGTTGAGCTTTATAAATAAAAACTTTTGGAAGATGGCTTTCACTCTACGACAGACAGCCTACTTATGGTCTGTTTATATGGGGTTAACCCAACCTAGATTAGCTATATTCCTTTAATTACTTTATTGTTATTTTATATTAATAAGTATTTACATTAGCAAATGGTGACCGCACAGGACATAGCCCCAATTTATATTACAGCTACCATATAACAACCTAGCTTGGCTACCATATAACAACCTAGCTTGGTTATTCAATTTATGTGAGACTGTTGAGGCAAGCATGGGCTTGCTGGAACAAAACAGGTGTAAAAAAATATTAAATACAACATGTTGTCATGATCCATCATCACCTTAAGCTCTAATCCTATTTGAGCTGCCATTAATTACCAACTGAACTACTGGAGATACAGGGATATTTTATATTTGACCAGGTAGACAATAGAAGTTTAAAGTAATTTGGCATCACTACCTACCAATATGCCTTAGTTATATAAACCTTCTTTCCTCTTGGGCTGGCCTGCCTGGCCAAGACTCTTTTCCAAGTTATAGATCTGGGATATAACAGCTGGGCATTAAATAATTAATACATAATTCACATCAATCTATTGATATAAAGAACATTTCTTTATTTTCTTAGGGGGTGTTTATATGGAGGAGAGCCTCGTACCCAGGCGCAAGTAACGTACTAAAAATAGCAACACTACAGTGATCTCTATACAAAAACTGTAGTGTTGCTGTTTTTAGTACCGTACGTTATTTGCACCTGGGTAACGAGGCTGGGAGGAGAGCCAGCCCAGATACCTTAGCTAGCTTGCTTTGCCGAGATCTAACATCGCTATGTAATTTATACTAACATTTATCTTGTGTTTAAATGGGAACCGAGCTGGCCTGCCTAGGTGAGATCTTGAAAAATAAAAATATGTTTACTTATATTATACTATTTATAGCGGTAACACCAATCATTTGTTTTGGCAAGACAGCCCACCTCAAAAGTCTCAAGTAAACATGGGATAAAATCAGCTCAGCAAAGAGAGCTAGCTCGGGTACCTGTTTTTTACCTCCATATAAACACCCCATTAGAAGTTAAAATTTCTAGGGATAAAACCTTCAAAACTTTATTGTTGACAACAATTTCAGGTAGACAGTATCCAGGAAAATTGCCTTTTCATATTGTAAGGCCAAAATTATGTACATAATTTCAGTAATAAATAAAATGAACAACTTTACCAATGACAAGTGAGAGTCTTTATGGATATAATGACAGTCTTTGCAATTTCACATCATGATGAGCCAAAAACCCAAAAGTTGATGCAATAAAGAATAATAGTTTAATTTCTAAGTATTTACAAACATGTAGCAGTACCTTTTGCATTTATATTGTGGAAAAATATCTATATTTTTATTTTATTTCTGTATATTTTTCTCAGAAGAATGATAACAAACTGCGTAATACCGCGTGCAACCCCCTGCTAAGAGACTTGGGCTAATACAATAACTGTGGCAATCGATACACCAGGCTCCAGCCGGAAATCTTAGTTAAAGATAAAGAGCAAAGCCCAGCAAATAACTTTAAAACCAAACATAATAAAAGTAAAGATTTAATTAGCTAACGTTTCGTTGTTTACAATACAACATATTCAGAGCAATCTAAATTAATTTAAAGGGTATGGTATATATATTTACAAAATAATGGTTTAATATTAGAAAAACGGTTACATAATTTGAAAGAACAAATGAATAGAAAGAAAGGAAAACAACTTATCAGTAACTATAGTTAATAAGTAAAGATTAATGTTAAGTGCATGGTTAGTATAGTTAAGGTTAATATTACATAACCAAAATAACTCAAGAGGGGTAGATCTAACATTAGCATTAAGGACAGGGTTAAGTTGAAAAATTAATAGGCTTTCACGGATAAGAAGTTCCCACTCAGAAGTGCCTGATGATAGAATTTTGAAATCAGAAGCGGAGGCTGGGTGTTTGTGCATGTTCATCCCTCGCCCTCGGCATAATAAATGTACTTTCCCTAAAGAGCATAAAAGTTGCTCAAAAGTTGCGCGAAATAAAAAAGTTGCTACTTATAAAATTCAAAAATTTGTTCGTACTCATTACGTTAATTTCACGACATACATTAATTATAAAGCTTTATACAATTTCTGCAGGCCTGGATAAATTGGAATTATAAACAGAAAACGTTTTCTTTACAAAAGTTTAACAAATGAGAGAACAAAAGTCATACAAAGTTGACATTTTGCTGAACAACATGTGAGATTACCTGGATTAAATCTTCTCATTGAAGTACAAAGTAACGTCACAAGTTTTATGTTTTCTTATCTCTGCATTCTAAATTCTAATATTAATTCTTTCTAGTCTGGAGTATTCATGTCATATACAGCGTTTATATAAAATAAAAATGATAATATACGAATACAATAACTACAATAGATATTCATCACACATGTTGTGCCTTTATCAGTGACAGTGCCTTGATGAAACTGACAAGTCTGAGCCGAACGAAAAATTTTGAAAATATGGAGTCCCTACGACGTTCGAAATGGCCTTTACAGAGTCCTTAGGGACCATTCATTATTTATGACTGGGGGTGGGCTGGCAAAGAAAGGGGGTGGGTCATGAGGTATTTTTGACCGAAAAAGGGGGCACCTGAAAATATTGCTTCAGAAGGGGGGGGGTCCAATTATTTATTATAGTGGTATTATAGTGAAGAAAAAATTGACATTGCTACCACAGGGAGCGAGCGAGCAAGGCAGCAAATAAAATTTATGTACACAGCTAGCAAAATTCTCAACTTTAATCAACGGATAGACCCAAAATGCAATGCACAAATACCCAAAATTCAATGCGTGCAGCTTGAATATGAAAAACAATTGAACATCTACTTTTATAACTTTTGCCGTGAACTTGCCATAAAATTTTATCATATTTCAATATGTACATTTTAATAAAAAAAGATAATTAACGAGTAAGCGATGTAGCAACATTAGGTCCAGGGAACGTTTGGCATATACTATACGTATACACTACTCACTACAATCCTGGACAAAAGGTTGTGGACAACCACAGAATTTGGCCTCGAAAGGAGTTTTCCCTAAATAATTATCCCCCCGCTCCCCCATGCCAATGTTGAATGGGATTTTTCATCAAATACGAAGTGTGGTTAAGTCGGATAAGCAAC